CTTGTGTCTTAAGACTGTGAAAAGATACATACGTCTTTACCCAGTCTGGAGGTGTGCCTCCAAATTCGCAGTATTTCAGTGAACTAAAAACAAATACCGTACCTCAGAGCTGATTCGATATGCCTCGAAAGCGACTCAATAGTTCGGATGCGGTAATCCGGTTCAATATTTTCCTTTTCGGTGGCCATCTGGACAATGTCGTTGAGTCGAATACCTGAAAAATCACAGCGTACCATTCAATTGCACACTTCCCCGAAATCGATTGTGGTATGCTTTGTTGGGCTATCGACGAAGAGCTGGAGGAGCGCTGGACGCATGTAAACATCGTTTGGAATCATTGACATCACTTCAAAGCAATGCCATTAATTTAATGGCAAAGAGACCGATTGCTTTTTCTTTGGACTCTTCCTCCATTCGATTCCCTGGAGCCACGTTTGCTATAAGGATTACCAGGGATAGGCAGAACACTGTGGGTTTTGCCGCCTAATGGCCTGTCTTTAACGCTCAGGACCTCCCTGGTTAGGACATAATGGAGGCAATCGCTCGGCCTTCATCAATGTCATAATTCTGAAAGGTTTTGAGAAAAGGAACCAAAGTCGGACGCACGGCGTATCCCAAATAGATGGGTCAGTAAATGCGATATTGGGGCGATTAATTGCTTGACTTGATCAGTCGTTTACTAAATGCTTCTGAGAATATCAACGAAAGTCGAACGCGCGGTGTATTCCAGATAGATTGGCTGCAAAGAACTATAACTTCTCAACTTCTGGGTAAGATATTAAATAATACTGGTAGGAAAATTACCGGATTTGTCACTCATTAATCTCCACATAAGGCACGGAATATAATAGAGGAAGGCCTGAATCAACAGAAAGAACGGCACCCATTGATAATATGATATTTGGCGATATTCTCGTTCCGCTATGTCGACAGGGATATCCTGAAATTGTCAAATGATCCTAAGATAAAAGGGTTTTGTGGTAATAATTGAAGATACCTGCTCTATGGGAACCCAGTAGGTGTTCTGTGCCCAACAGTACATCTCCGTGTAGGCCTCCCAACTTGCAGTGAACTGTGCCGGAACCCAACACTCCAGCGGACGACCACCGAACTGAAATGTGAAAATTTTCACTAGAACGACATCAGTGAAGGGATTACTACTTGAACGATTTGAGTAGAAAGAAAAATGTAGAAAGAAAAGAAAAGGTAAAAATGCTACCTCAAAGAGTCTCAAAGGCACTGAACACGATGGCTGGAGGATGGAGTGGTTAATGGCGTCATTGAGCCTCATTGGTGGAAGGGCGATAAATGGCAGCACCAGCCATACTCGCACGGGTTCCCCACCAATGGCGCTCAAGGGCGTTGTCAAAATCACTCCGCCCTTCTACGTGTTCGCTGCCTTTATCCTCATCTACACTATCCTGGTACAAAAGTGTTCTAAGAACGACTAGGTCAAAAAAGAAGCTATGTGCGGCAAAAATAGAGCAATCAGCAGATTGAAATGAAGGAATGTTTCAGTTGAGGTTTTTCGGAGTTATTTACATACTACTCTACCAATATTAGCGCTATTTATTTATTTATTTGTTATTTAAGATGTGCCTCGCAAACCTATACAAGTATCGATTCAGAACTTATGACATCTGAAAAGCGACATAAATAAAATGATATGAACGATGGTATTGCTTTGCTCAGTTACGCTTGTGAATGAGCCATGCCCTGGACTTTCAGTCAGAATGGTAACGGTCTGAAAGTACGCATTTGGCCTATGCAATGAATTGGAAAGCCATCTGAAGAAGGAGTCAAATACTTCCCCTCCACAGAAGAACAATGTACCAATTAACAGAGTCCCGGATGAAAAAGGAGCTTAGCTGACCTAAAATTTGGTACGTAGATCATACGTGAAGTAGCGTCGCTGTTTATTTTATTGAATCATGTTTAAAGGATAAAGGATAAGCATTTGCC